GAAAGAAACATAACAAGAAAGGGGGATCAATAAGAGACGGGGAAGGAGGAGGAAGAGAACCAATTGGTGACGTTGAAGGAGGAAGATGGCCAATAGGACTAGGACGAGAAGGAAGAGGAAGACCGACTGCTAAAGGTGTGAATTGTAACAGCATAAAATTACATTTATGCGAGATCAACGGTAGGGAGCTACTCGAGGGAGGTGGAAGGATGGGGGAGCACCGCGACCATCAGAGAATTGATTAATGGGCGACCTACAATATATAGACCGGAAGAGTGACGGACATAATACAACTACAAAGTGGTGTTATGTAATACTCTGTAATCTAATCTGGGCCTCAAATTTAGAGCTAAGTTTGGCTTATTCTTGTTTCATTGTGTGTCAGCCGATCGTCGATGTCTGGTTCTTACCTCACCTCAGTAATGGCCAGGGAACGCTCGGCCCTTGTCTGGGAGATTTTACACAACACTTGATAATTGTAGATAACTGGAATCGTCAAAACTGAAGATAACCAATATGTTTTGTAAATAACTTTTTCCATATAATAGGAAACAAGATCAAGGAGACCCAAATTTAAACAGTTGAAGGGCGATGCGGTACAAAAGAGCGATGACAAATATCAAGACGTATAAAAAGTAGTTAAGTAACGGGGGTGCTCATGGCAACATTGACATTGTAGAAACAAAAAATGCCATGGATTAGAGACAGTAAAAACTCCTCTTTACTCACCATCAACAAAAAGAGTTATTAAACCTGACACACGGACAAACGACAACAAATCCACCCCTGACTTATCCGGCTTGCTTGCAAACGATAACTTTTTCTTCTTTTTTTAAACTTGGTAATACAAACAATCTATTTTTCAGGGATACGCAAAACATTCTTAATATTTTAACAAAGTCTTGTTCCTACACCCATGTGTTGCTGATTTTTTAAACTAAGATATGATTATAAAAACTTGAGATTACATTCATGAATTAACTGTCAGATCTCCCAACTTTGTCGCTGTCCTTTCTGATGCTGATGCCAGTTTTGTGACGTCATAAGGCTTCCTCTCACGCACGCACGCGCACACTTTACATTCGAGATTTATTTAGTTTTCATTATATGCCCAAAACTTTATCTGCATTATATATAGTACGTAAAGTGCCTTCAACAAACAACTCTAACATTATCCGTGCTTATTACCTCGTGTGATGAGTTTTGCCCTTGTTGAGTAATTACATCAGTTAATAACAAGAAGACACACAGGCATTAAGAAACACCAATTGCGATAATAATGTGACATAAGTGGGAACCATAGTACAGTTATCTCACTCCTTTCCACGATTCCTAAAATCTTCCACATTCCTGATTCCCAATTATGAAAACATGTTAAATTTCACAGTATATTAATTTCCGAAAACAAGTCTTGCCATTTCACTAACAACTTCAATGGGAAGTGGTGGCTGGTAGTCTCCGTGTGGCTTCGACAGCGAATATAGACGAGCCAACCCAAGGCGTCAGTCGGGTGAGTCTGGCGTCACCCGCCACAGACAGGTCCAGATAAGATAGGTGTGTCTCCCCCTTTTGTATGGACGTTTGTGAACCACTGGGTCTTTACAACAATCCGGTGGTGCTATGGTTATGTGATACTGCTAGTAGCACCTCACTGCCTCTTCAATGGAGGCATTGTGTATATCAATAATGCAACTGTCATAATGAAAGATATTAAAAATGGCATCTTTTTATAAGACTGAGAGAAAGAGGAACATTGCAAATTGTTCCACCACATCAACTATAAAGTGACTTAAGTACCCCCTTGTACGTGAACCTGTAGTGTTGTCTGGTACACGAGGAGCATTAAACACCATATTACTCCATCAGTCGGTGCTGCCACCAGCCAACCTTTACCAAAAACTATCATCTATGGTTCTACTTTTTCAATATCGTCCTGTCTGGATTTGATGCTAATTTGAAAGTCAAATTTCTACTGCGCCAACTTGGTTCAGGCTTATAAAATGTATTCGTAAACGCTATTTTACTGTGCAGACGGGGCGCTGTCGGTGTAAAAAAAAATCACGATGAAATATTACGCAGTGAACTGCGTTCATGTGATACGAAACTTTAATTGAAATGTCACATTCGTTAAAAATCACAGTGCTCAGTGCTCACTTATTTTGTTTAAATACAAGTATAATAGATTACTTAGCAGCTGTAAGGACGGCAAGAACAATGATTACGAGTGTAATAAATAATTTTTTAGGTGAAGTTCTCATTTTCTCGGGTAAGCAAGTGAAGAAACAAGAGCTAAATAAACGTTCTGAAATTAAGCTAACTCTCTGGTAGCGTTACTAAGTCATCGTCTGTCGGCTCTGAGTGGGATAACAGACGACAATACGAAAGAAATGCTCAGACTGGTTCACTCAATAGGGTTATTTCCAAACACTACTCAAATAAATTAATTGCGTGACCTGATTCTAAGCGTCAGAAGGCCGCTGTTGCACTCGGCGATGGAAGCGAAAAATTCTACTAATCACCTCGACTGCCGCAGCCTTGACCGCAGATATACGTAAGCTTTAACCCGAGTGTGGGCACGGAGGCAAAACTAAACCTTAACCTCAGTGTCGGCACGGAGGCAGCACCAAGCCTTAATCTGAGTGTGGGCACGGAGGCAGCACCAAGCCTTAATCTGAGTGTGGGCACGGAGGCTGTAATAAACCTAACGACACAAAGCTAACAAATAAAAGACGACCTCACTCAAACCAACCTAAGTAAGCTTAAAGTCACTTAAACTTGAAAACTTCTCGAAGTAATTAAATGGTCGAAAGTTTCTGGACAATACAAGAATAAAAGAAGATGTTCAGCGAATGTCATTCATTGTATAAAGACTAATCTAAACTTTAAACTAAAATAAAAACTGTAGAAATATCCATCAAATGTTAAAATGTTTACCTGTACCTTCATAAACAAATCATCCCCCTGAAGTTTACGGAAAAAATCAAGATTATAATTACAAATGCTAACGCTAATTCTCCATTTCTATGCTATGGTGCTTATTATCATTTACCGTCTGTATATTTTAGGAGGACTATAAAGGGTCTATTTTTGTGAGATAAACGGCTGATATCGTGTGTGCGTGTGTATGTGTGTGTGTGTGTATCACCCTGACAAACAATCATCACCACCACGACAAAGAACAACCACCACCACCCCGACAAACAACCATCACGGCAAACAATAACAACCACCACAATCTCCACAAACAACCGCCATCACCACCACGACAAACAACAACAACCATCATCATCACCACCACGACACAAAAAACAACAACCACCACCTCGACAAACAACATCCCCCACCACAACGATGAACAAGAACAGCCACCACCAAGCAAGAAACCACCACCATCACGACAAACAACATCCACCACCAGAACGATAAACAAAAACAACAAACACCACGACAAGCAACCACCACCTCGACAAACAACATCCCCCACCACAACGATGAACAAGAACAGCCACCACCAAGCAAGAAACCACCACCATCACGACAAACAACATCCACCACCAGAACGATAAACAAAAACAACAAACACCACGACAAGCAACCACCACCTCGACAAACAACATCCCCCACCACAACGATGAACAAGAACAGCCACCACCAAGCAAGAAACCACCACCATCACGACAAACAACATCCACCACCAGAACGATAAACAAAAACAACAAACACCACGACAAGCAACCACCACCTCGACAAACAACATCCCCCACCACAACGATGAACAAGAACAGCCACCACCAAGCAAGAAACCACCACCATCACGACAAACAACATCCACCACCAGAACGATAAACAAAAACAACAAACACCACGACAAGCAACCACCACCTCGACAAACAACCACCATCACCACAACGATGAACAAGAACAGCCACCACCAAGCAAGAAACCACCACCATCACGACAAACAACATCCACCACCAGAACGATAAACAAAAACAACAAACACCACGACAAGCAACCACCACCTCGACAAACAACATCCCCCACCACAACGATGAACAAGAACAGCCACCACCAAGCAAGAAACCACCACCATCACGACAAACAACATCCACCACCAGAACGATAAACAAAAGCAACAAACACCCCGACAAGCAACCACCACCTCGACAAACAACCACCATCACCACGACAAACCACTACCACTACGACAAACAACCACCACCACCACGATAAACAGCAACAAGCACCAGCACGACCAACAACAACCACCACCTCAACAACCACCACCACGACAAACAACAACAACCACGATAAGAAAGGTACAATATTATACCCCCCCCCCGCCTTCCTAGAACTTGTACAGCGGAAACAAAAAACAGAAACCTTGCGACACAAAGTCAATTCTGAACGTGGCGTCGAGGGACAATGATCTTAATGGTGGTGGTGATTTGGAACCAGAATGGCTAGCTGGAAGGCCGGAGGAGAGAGCAGGAGGTAGGATACAGGAGGAGGAGGAGGAGGAGAGTGGATGATTAAGGGAGAGGGTTTGGAAGAGCGAAAACGAGGGAGGGAAAAACAGAGAGAGAGGGAAGGTAGCGGATAATAAAGGGGAGGAAAGCAGGAATGGAGACAAAAATAAATAAACAGGGTTACCAAGTGACAGCACCAAGATCCCGCTTCCTCTATCAAGGAATAAACAATTGAAATTAAAATTGAATTGAACAAATAAATAAAATAATTAATTAATTAATAAATAAATAAATATAAAAAACATAATAAAAGAGAGAGAGAGAGAGAGAGAGGAAAAATTTGTAAAAGCTTTAATAATGGCTCTCCACCGCCTGGTGAAGGGTGACGTAGAGGTGCCCTGCTCTCTCCCCTAAATAGCTTCAGTGATGGGTGCCACATACCTATACACATCAGTGATGGGTGCCACATACCTATACACATCAGTGATGGGTGCCACATACCTATACACATCAGTGATGGGTGCCACATACCTATACACATCAGTGATGGGTGCCACATACCTATACACATCAGTGATGGGTGCTACATACGTATACACATCAGTGATGGGTGCCATATACCTATACACATCAGTGATGGGTGCCACATACCTATACACATCAGTGTTGGGTTCCACATACCTATACACATCAGTGTTGGGTGCCACATACCTATACACATCAGTGATGGGTGCCATATACCTATACACATCAGTGATGGGTGCCACATACCTATACATCAGTGATGGGTGCCACATACCTATACACATCAGTGATGGTGCCATATACACATCATTGATGGGTGCCACATACCCTATACACATCAGTGATGGGTGCCACATACCTGTACACATCAGTGATGGGTGCCACATACCTATACACATCAGTGATGGGTGCCACATACCTGTACACATCAGTGATGGGTGCCTATACCTGTACACATCAGTGATGGGTGCCATATACCTATACACATCAGTGATGGGTGCCATATACCCTATACACATCAGTGATGGGTGCCATATACCTATACACATCAGTGATAGGTGCCACATACCTATACACATCAGTGATGGGTGCCACATACCTATACACATCAGTGATGGGTGCCACATACCTATACACATCAGTGATGGGTGCCACATACCTATACACATCAGTGATGGGTGCCACATACCTATACACATCAGTGTTGGGTGCCATAGACCTATACACATCAGTGTTGGGTGCCACATACCTATACACATCAGTGTTGGGTGCCACATACCTATACACATCAGTGATGGGTGCCATATAGCTATACACATCAGTGATGGGTGCCATATAGCTATACACATTAGTGATGGGTGCCACATACCTATACACATCAGTGATGGGTGCCACATACCTATACACATCAGTGATGGGTGCCATATAGCTATACACATCAGTGATGGGTGCC